CCTGTGTGTCCCCAGCACTCCTGTGTGTCCCCAGCACTCCTGTGTGTCCCCCAGCTCTGGTGGCCCTGGACTGGCCCCAGCAGTTTTTGGCTGCTGACCTTGGCTCAGCAGCTGCTTGCCCCGAGCCAGGGAGATCCCCAGAGCTGCAAGGATTCCACAGCAGGGCTCGGGTTCAGCTGAAGCCCCCCAGGAATTGTCCTTAGAGCCAGCAAACCCCAGCCTGGGCACTTCCAGAGGGAAAGGGCTTTGAGGAGAGTCTCGGTCCATCCCCAACCCTCAGGTTTTATTTCCCCTCTGCATCCTCAGCTGCTCCATGCACACATGGAGGCAAACATGATTCCTGGGAGGAAAAAGTGTAGCATTCATGTGTTCAGCCTGGAAGTCACTTTAAGAACTGGCTTGAATTTCACTCTTTATTTTTATATAAATTTTATGTACATTTATTTTCTAGATTTTTTAGGCCTACCCAGAATTGGCAAGGAAACATTCCATTTGCCCCTAAACAATTTTCCTGTGATTTTTAAAAAAATTTTAAGTTGCCAAAAATAGCTCACAGATGTTCATGGCACGAACAGAAGTCTTCCTGGCTGGCATCACCCTGCCCTCCCCCTGTGCCCAGCACAGGGCTGCAGCATCAGCCTTTCCCAGCTATTTCCACTTCACATGGGTGACACGGTGCCATCCTGCCATCAGGGGCTCCCCGGACCCAATTGCAGGTGCAATTATTCCCATCCCTGCTCTATCTTGCAGTGCCTCCCTCCTCCTGTGCTGGCACCAGCTTTGAGCCAAAACCTGCCCCAAATTTCTCCTAAACCTTTGCACGTTTCACCCCCACAGGTGACACAAGGAGCCCCAGGGGACTCTGTGTCCCTCCCTGCTGGCACTGATGTCTCCACCTCAGCAGAGCTGTTTCCCACCTGCCACCCCTCCTTGCTGGGACACACGGGACTGGGCTGGGTTTGGAGCCCTCGGAGCTGTAGCAGCCTCCTCCCAAGGGACAGCTCCAGACTCTGCTCTGGGAGCAGGGACAGGACCTGGCTGAACACGTGGAGCTGGGCCAGGCTGGGTTGGGTTGGATTTTGGGAAAGGTTCTTCCCACGCCCAGAGGGTTTGGGCACAGCCCCACAGAGCTCCAGGAGAGTTTGGACACCAGGGATGCCCAGGGTGGGATTTTGGGGGGTCTGGGCAGGGCAGGAGTTGGATGGATGATCCTGAGGGTCTCTTCCAGCTGAGAATATTCCAGGATTCTGTGATTCCAGCCAAGCATGGCTCATCTGAGCCCCACCACTCTTCCAAGCGCCCCAGAACATCCCCCAGATTCCTCCAGCACAGGAGCAGAGAGCTCAGCTCCATCCTGGACGTGCAGGCAGAGCCAGGGTCAGGAAAATGCGTGTGTGCTTTATTCATGGACATGTCTGAACACGGACAGTACAGAAAAGGTAAATACAAGTGTGAGCCCAGCCTGGCACCCAGCACCCTCCCCTGCACACCTGGGGCTCCTGCTCCAGCACCACCTCCCAGCCCTGCTCTGCCTGGACACTGTGCCCATGGCGTGCCATGACAAGGGGAGGGCAGACCCCACATTCCACAGCCCCTCAGGGCTGCCAGCCACTGTGAGTGGTGCTGTGCAGCCAAAGAAATGGACTTCAGGGGCTACAGAAAGTCTGGCTGGCTCTTCAACTGTGGTTTTTTTCCTTTCTTTTTTTCCCAGGATTCTTCTTTGTGCTTATGGAAGTCCTCAGGAATGGAGTAATTACTAAAAAAAAAATTATCTCCCTTTCTGCTTCTTGGCTCACTCAGTCTTTTGCCTTTACAAGCAGCTGCTATGACTTCTGTGGTTAATCAGGAGACTTAAAAATGAAGATCCGTGGTTCACTTCACAGAATTCAGCAGAGATGGAATTTCATCCAAAAAAATTACTGACTTTTCACAAGGAAAAAGCAGTGGTCTGTGCACACATGTTGGTGGGTGGGAGGAGAGTAATCATGTTTGCTTCCTCCAAGAGAAAGGTTCAAAAGTCATCCTTTTTTGCAAAGTTTGATTCATGAACAGGCTTGGAGGGAGAATCAACATTAAATATTGGTGAAAAGGGAGAAATAATCAGAACAAAGCCATGAAAGTTTGGGGATAAATTTTTTTTGTTGTTAACTCTTTCCCACTGGGTGAGAGGCTCCTTGCTCTGTGCCTCACCCACTTCATTCCAAAGCATCTGTGAACCCCAAGGAATGCCCAGGAGGGCAGGACCTGGCCTGGGACAGGGCCTGCAGGACCAGACTGAGAGGATCTTGCTGGGCTCTGATGTGTAGAGACAACAAACATCTGCAGAGTCTTTAAAGCCCCTGGGGTGCCCGGGCTGGATGGGGCTTGGGAAAACCTGCTCTGGTGGAAGGTGTCCCTGCTCATGGCAGGGGGGCTGGAACAAGGTGAGCTTTGAGGGCCCACCTGACCCATTTCATGGTTCTGTGGGGTCAGTGCAGGGGAGATGATCATCTCATGGAAATCGTTAAAGCAGTGATGTGGGACAAGGTGACCTCTGCAGGTCTCCTCCATCCCATCCACTCCTTGAGGGATTCTCCACCTCTTTTACAGCACGCCAGTCTGAGGTGGGGCCAGCAGGCATCCTGACCACCCAGAAAAGCTCTTTCTCTGCTGAATGAGAAGGAAATGGCAAAGTGGCCCTTGAGCATCACTGCCAAATGAGAGACACAGGAGTGGGTGCTCCTGGAAGGCAGCTGGCACTTGTGTCCCCATCCTGTGCAGACACTCAGCTGTGCACTGGACGCTGGTGGAGACTGGTTTGATGGGGCCAGATGTGTGGGAAAACAGAGGTAACTACAGGACCAGCAAGGAAAGGGGCAGAAGAACACAATTCCAGCATCACCTCGTGGTGTTGAGGTAGTTCCTTGCCTTTGAAGGGCTGAGCAATCGGGGATTCATCTCTCAGCATCCCTGGAAGGAGGGCAGATGTTCACAGCATCTCTGTGCACGCATGGGGTCACTTTGAAAGGACTTCCCTGCCTGTAGCTCTCCCTCCTTGTCTGCTTTCCTGACAGGGAGCCCCCAGCCATGAAGTTGTCACATACAACTTTTAGCTCAGGGTGTGACTTGTCACCCTGCACACACGCCCTGGAACTGGTGTGCTCCTCTGGAAAACCCTGGGTTAGGAAAACCTGGTGCTACAGCCCTGAGGACCTCAAGGAGCAGCACTTTGGACAGGATGCAGCAGGAGGATTTCTGTTCATGTCAGACACATCCACAGGTGTTCAGCTGAAAACCAGAGTGGTTTCCTGCTGGAACAAAAGCCAAGGAAGGATTGCTGCAGTTTCTCAGAAAATCTGAAGCAATAAACAATGGGAGAGCATTTGCAGGAAATGGGAATAAAAAGCAATGGGCTTTGCTATGTTAGATGCTTCCTAATCCTTTCGACGCATTCAAATGCCAAAGGATTAATGATATTTATTGGAGGAGCACAAACCAAGGAATAAATGGACTGCTGCAAAAGCCAGGCCTCATTACACTCAGGGGGACTCTGGGGCTATTGCTCTTCCTCCCATGGCACTCAGCCTGGGTAAGCATTGATCCTCACTCCTCCTCACCAGCTTCTTTCCTGGCTTCACATGGTACAGGGGCTCAGCCCCCCAGGGGGGCACTGGGACTCCTCAGCTCACCTCCTCAAGGAAATGGGATGCTCAGGTAATCCAAGGTCACACACCTTGTCCCTGTGCCCCAGGACACACAGACACTGATCCTCACCTTGTCCCTGTGCCCCAGGACACACAGACACACTGACCCTCACCTTGTCCCTGTGCCCCAGGACACACAGACACACTGACCCTCACCTTGTCCCTGGGCTCTGCTTGCAGCTCAAAGGGTCCCTTCAGCAGCCTTTGCTTAAATGACATCTTCACTGAAAAAACAAGAGGCAAAGCCCTTCACCTGCTCACCTGCACACAGGTGGTTGCCTCTGCCAGTTCTTCAAGGAGGGGAAACTCAATCCAGTCCCTGCCCATGATTTGGCCTTTCTTGGCTGGGTATGTCTGTCTGCAGGGTGGTATCTAGCAAACCTCTCCTATCCTGTCTCTTCCCTAATGAAATCCCTTGGCTGGAGACCCTGTGCCTATGAGGGCAGGGGGTGAACAGGTAGCACGTGAGAGTGGGATGTGTTGGGCTCACACCAAATCCTGCCCATGGGCTCCCACACTGGCCCCTGATGGAGAGAGGGCAGCCTGGAGTGGGACAATGCTGGCCTCTGGTAGTTTGGATATGACAAAAAATGCCCCAAGCACTGTACAGGACTGGTGGATAAAGATGTTTGGGTTGGGACACAAAAAATTCAGCTGTAAACAAAATGCAACACACATGTTTCTTCCTGAATACCATCAATACAGGACACAGGGTTCCCTAAGGAGGGCCCGAGGGGCAGGTGACAGCTGGGACATGGATGCTGGTGGCACTCTGGCCATGGTCTTGAGAGGGTGGATAATCCCTGCCAGCCACTTCAGAGTCTGGTTACTTGGTCCTCCCCAGAGGTGCTCCAGTGAACAAAACCAACCTCCTTCTCACCAGTCGTGGGGTTTCTGCAGCCTGAAGGAATCAGGCACCTTGTCCTTCAGGTCCTGAGCAACCCTGGAGACGTCACATCACTTGACACGTCCTGTCCAGAGCCCCTCAGCGTGGGCTTCAGGAAACCTCTGACATTCTGACATGTCATCCATCCATCCATCCATCCATCCATCCATCCATCCATCCATCCAAAGTCTTTCCCCTCTTGGCTGGGGCAGGAAAAAGCATTTCCTTTGCAGCTCTCATTTCTTGCATCAACTCCCTCCTCCGTCTTTTCCAAGGAAATTGTCCATGGCTCCAGCCCTGTCCATAGAGAGCTGGAGAAACAACAACCAGGCTGTGGTGTGGAAAGCTGGCCAGGACCAAGAATGAGCTGGTTGTCAACAATGCTGATCATAAAAAATCAAATAAACTGGCAGACAGATGAGGAGGAGGAAGGGGTGCCAAACACTCACCTTGCCTTCCCTTCCCCTCCCTTCTCCCTGCTCTCCTCCTGAAACAGTTACTGGTGTGGTTGCTCAGTAAAGAAACCAACACAAATCGAGTCTCTGCCTGGTGTGTGCCAGCCCTGCCTCACATCACGGGCAGGCTCAGCACAGCTGGAGGGAGCAGGAGCCACATCTGCAGCAGAGAAGGGGCCCAGCAGGAAGGGGCTGCTGGGCTGGACGTCCCTGAGGACAAACGAGTGGAGCCACGCAGGAGCCTCTCCTCTCCAGCCACCTGAAAGAGAAAGGAGAAAGGTGAGAGGTGTGGCTGATCACGGAACCATGAAATGCTTTAGGCTGGAAGAGACCATAAAGACCATCCAATTCCAGCCCCTGCTACGGGCAGGGACAGCTTCCCCTATCCCAGGTTGCCCCAAGCCCTATCCATGGCCTGGAACAGCTTCCCAGGGCGGCCACAGCTTCTGTGGGCACCTTGTGCCAGGACCTCTTCACCCTCACAGCCAAGAATTCCATCCCAAGATCCCATCCAGCCCTGCCCTCGGGCAGTGGGAGCCATTCCCTGTGTCCTGTCCCTCCAGGCCTTGTCCAAAGTCCCTCTCCAGCTCTCCTGGAGCCCCTCCAGGCACTGGAAGGCCACAGTGAGGTCACCCTGAAGCTTCTCTTCTGCAGGCTGAACAATCCCAGCTCTGGTTTTCCTCACAGGGGAGGGGCTCCATGTGTCCAACCAGACTGCTGTCCCTCCTTGGTGCATTTGGGGCTCGGGGCTGTGTGGCCCCAAGTGTGTGCATGGCCAGAGGGGCCAGGGCTGATTTCAGCACCCAGACCCTGGCCTGGGGGCCAGTGCAGCTCCCCAGGAGATGCTGGCGAGGGTGGTCACAGCAGGGTCACGGGTGGGCACTGGCTGGAGGTGCCTGGGTGAGTGAGGAGCCCCCTCAGCTCAGTGCTGATCCAGACACCTCATGGAGCCACTGCTGGCCATGGCTTCACCTGGTGACCCTAAAGGTGGCTGTGGAATAAACCTCCATGGTGCTGGGAGACATTTCACCAGCTCTCCCCCTCAGCTCCAGGTGCCAACCCCATGAAACCTGGAATGGGATCTGGGTTTGAAGCTGAGTCCAAAGCCAAGAGCAAAGCCCTGGTTTCCCTGGCAGGGCAGCAGGGCCAGGCTCCAGCAGCACTCACAGCTCAGCTCAGGGATGTGCTGCTGCCACCAGGAGCTTGGAGATGTGGCAGGGCCATCCTTCACTGCAGCTGCTTTTCCCACTGCTGTTGGGAATACTGTCCTGGTCACAGAGGCTTCACAGCTTCTCCATCACTTCCAGGACCAGGCTCCCAGGGCTAGATCTGGGCCTGAGGCCACTGCTTGGATTTCTCTAAGGTCTCTGAGGAGAACACCAGCTTGAGGGAAATCCTGCAGCTGTGCTGGGTGCCCAGCTCATGGCCTGGTGAAGGTGTCCCTGTGCTCTGCAGCAGTGCCACCAGTGCCCTGGAGAGCACTGAGGGAACCCGAGGACACTTTTCTCCACCTCCCAACCCGCTGCTCTGTGGAAACAGGGTGCAGAGAGGTGAATTAGGTGTTTTCCCAGCAAAAGAAACAGTGACAAGCCTTAAAATAACCTACATTTGGAAGCTCTCTGAAGGTATCAGTCAGCCCAGTGCAAAGCCTATGCTCAGTCCTTGGAGTCTAGTTAAAGCTGACAGCTGCTGCAACCTGAACATTCAGCAAATCAGGGTCACTGTTAATTATTCAATAGTAAAATAATTGAATCTGAAAATTACTCTGGTGTGGCAAGTCAAGGTCATTTTGTTTTATTCAAAAATAAAATATTTAATGCCTGTCACAGCCATCATCAGTAAATGGACATGTTATTTGTTTTAAAATAATTACAATTTAATATTATTTTGACTGTAATAATTTGCTGATGAACAGAACCTTTCCTTTCTATTTTTCCAATGCTTAGCAAAGCTTAGTTAAACCTCTGCATTATGACCTCTAGAATCCTCATCTAACAAGGGGGGAACTTGTGTCCTGGGAAGTTGAAATGCTGTGTGAAGCTGAACTGATGCTCTGAAGGACGGTGAGGAGCCAAGCCAGTGGTCCTGGCTGAAAACCCCATGGATTTCCCAGAGTTTCTAAATGGAACATGGCTCTGA